CATTCGGCCAAGAGCAAATGTGATGTCCCTAGTGTTCCAAATGATCAAGCATTGATTAAGCCAAGCACTAAGAAACAAAACATGATAATCAAGGTTAAGAATGTTGGGAAAGTTGTGAATTCTGATCAGCCTGTGTTACTTATGATTTCCAAACATGTGCTCTTGAATGTTGATGAACTCAATAAGGCATTGCCTTCAAGTGTGGTTGCATTGTTGCAGGAATTCGAGGACGTGTTCCCTGATGAGGTCCCTGATGGATTATCACCCATCCGAGGGATCGAGCACCAAATAGACCTTCTTCCTGGAGCACCCCTACCCCACAAACCCGCCTACCGAATGGGTCCGGAGGAAACTAAGGAACTTCAAAAGCAAGTTGATGGCTTACTAGGTAAGGGTTGGGTTAAGAAAAGTTTGAATCCGTGTGTTGTACCTGTTATACTTGTTCCAAAAAAAGATGGTACTTGGCATATGTGTGCTGATTGTAGAGCTGTAAATGCTATAACTGTTAAATACCGTCATCCCATTCCTAGATTAGATGATATGCTAGATGAACTTGATGGTGCTATTATTTTCACAAAAATTGACTTACGAAGTGGCTATCATCAAATTAGAATGAAAGAGGGAGATGAGCAGAAAATAGCTTTTAAAACAAAACATGGACTTTATGAGTGGTTAGTCATGCGTTTTGGGTTGACTAATGCGCCTAGCACTTTCATGAGACTAATGAACCATGTTTTAAGGCAGTTGATAGGAAAATTTGTCATTGTTCACTTTGATGATATTTTGATCTATAGTCGAAACATACATAAACATATGGAGCATATAAGATTGATACTAGACACACTTCACAAGGCGAGCCTCTATGCTAACCTTAAGAAATGCACTTTTTGTACTAACGAACTCGTGTTTCTAGGCTATGTTGTTAGTTCACAGGGCATCAAAGTAGACGAATCCAAGATCGATGCCATCAAACAATAGCCCACGCCAAAGTCAGTCGTGGATGTGCGAAACTTCCATGGTTTGGTTGGTTTCTACTGGCGTTTTGTCAAGGACTTCAGTACCATTGCTGCGCCATTGACCGCAGTGACAAAGAAAAATGACAAGTTCCATTGGGAAAAAGCACAAGAAAAATCTTTCCTTACTCCTAAGGACAAACTCATACACGCACCTGTCTTAGCATTACCTAACTTTAACAAAACTTTTGAAATCGAATGTGATGCTTCTGGTGTAGGGATTGGAGCCGTGTTGATACAAGATAAGAGGCATTGCGTCTTCTTTAGTGAAAAGTTGGGAGGTACAACATTGAACTACCCCACATATGACAAGGAGTTGTACGCACTTGTGAGGGCCTTGGAAACATGGCAACATTACCTCCGTCCAAGAGAATTCATGATACACACTGACCACGAATCATTGAAATTTCTCAAGAGGCAGTCGAAATTGAGCAAAAAGCATACCAAGTGGGTAAGTTTTATTGACACCTTCTGTTATGTCATTAAGTATAAGACTGGTCGAACGAATGTGGTAGCTGATTCTTTATCTCGTAGACATTCCTTGCTAGTATTTCTTGATGCTAAGTTGCTTGGTTTCGAAATGCTAAAAGAGCTCTATGCACATGACATTGATTTTGGTGAAATGTTCGCATCATGTACCAAGAGTCCGCATAGCAAGTATTTTTTACATAAAGGGTTCTTGTTTTATGTTGATAAGTTGTGTATGCCTAATTCTTCTATTCGTGACTTGTTCTTTCGAGAGACACATAGTGGTGGTCTCATGGGACATTTTAGGATTGTTAAGACTTTAGCAATGTTACAAGAGCACTTTTATTGGCCACACATATGAAAGGATGTTGAACGCATGGTTGGTAGATGTGCCACCTGCCATAAAGCTAAGTCTAAAACAAATCCATATGGCTTGTATACCCCATTGCCAATTCCAAAATATCCTTGGGTAGAGTTGTCAATGGACTTTGTTTTAGGACTACATAGGTCTCAAAGGGGTAATGATTCCATCTATGTGGTAGTTGATAGATTCTCAAAGATGGATCATTTTATCCCTTGCCATAAAACTGATGATGCATCTCATATTGCTACTTGTTTTTCAAAGAAATTGTGCGTTTACATGGTATGCCTCAAACAATTGTTAGTGATAGAGATGTTAAGTTCTTGAGTTATTTTTGGAAGAATTTATGGTCTAAACTTGGCACTAAACTCTTATTTTCGACCACAAGTCACCCCCAGAGTGATGGACAAACTGCAGTTGTCAATCGCACTCTTGGGACTTTGTTAAGGGCCGTAATTAAGAAAAATCTTAAGTCTTGGGAAGAGTGTTTGCCACATGTTGAGTTTGTTTATAATAGAACTGTTCACAGTGCCACACACTATTCACCATTTGAGGTTGTTTATGGGTTTAATCCCTTAACTCCCCTTGACTTGGCACCCTTACCTTCCTCTGAGCATACTAGCTTAAATGGGAAAAAGAAAACTGATTTTATGCACAGGTTACATGAAGCCGTTCGAGTCAATATTGAGAAGCATACTCAGCAATATATCCAGCACGCTAACAAGCATCGTCGCAAGATGGTTTCTGAACCTGGAGATTGGGTCTGGCTACACTTAAGGAAAGAAAGGTTCCCTAAGCAACGCCAAAGCAAATTGTCTCCTAGGAGCGATGGACCTTTCCGAGTGCTTCAATGTGTCAACGAAAATGCCTACAAGTTGGAGTTGCCCAGGGAGTATAATGTCAGTGCAACTTTCAATGTCGCGGATTTAAGCCCGTTCCTTGAAGAGAATGATCCAAATTTGAGGACAAATCCTTCTCAAGTGGAGGGGATTGATGTGTGCACGGATGGTGATGATAAAGTGAGAGTCCCACTTCGGCCGATTACACGTGCACGGGCAGAGCACTTCAAAGAATCTCTTCAAGCCCTTGTTCAAAGTGTTCAAGATCAACAAGGGGTCCATAGGAACATTGAAGGTTTGGACGTGGCTAGTCAAGTTGTCTACACATTGATCCAAGCCAATGAGGTGCCAAATGATGGCCACACGAGTGCTTAATGGAGTTGGCCGATTGATTGTTGCTAGTTTGTTAGTTGGTTGGGTTGTTATCGAGTCATTAGTTTTAGCTGGCTTGTCAGTCGCATTTTTAATTAATAGTTTTATTAGTTTTTGGGGTCCAATAATCGGTCCACTCATGCACAAGAGTGAACTGAACCCTCTTTCCTAGTTTAGGTAGAATTAGCAGTCAAACAATCCTTGTTCCAATCGGATTTGACATTGGTTGCTAGCCTATAAAAAGGCTCATTTTGTAAGAACAATGGTTAGACATTATTGACAATAAAATTTACTTTGTTTCTCTTCAAAGCCGAGAGTTACATTCTACTTGCTAGGCAAGGGTTTTTTGAGCAATCTCGCACGACGTCTTTGGTTGTTCATCCAACCTATCTACTTGAGTAACTACCCCAATTAGAGTCCATGTTCTACCACCTTCGAACAAGTTGAGTCATCCATCTTGGTTCTAGGTTCCGCTGTGACGACCCCACCGCACCCAGAGGCGTACCAAAGGGTTTGACGGACCGCCTGCCTAACTCGCGCCAGGACTCGAAAACGAAAAGTAAATAATAGAGACTAAATACCAAAAGATACTATTTACAATCATACATCTTCAAGAGTGACGTTCCAGTCCACTACATCATACAAAAACGAGAATTAAAACCAAAAATGGACCTTAAGCAGCATCCTAACCATAACTATGAGAATCAAGAAAGACACCCTAGAAAGTCTAGCTAGTATAATTACAAAGGTCAATTCTAGGGATATAACTCTCGTGAAGTGGGATCCCCGCGTACGGCCCTTGTTAAAGAATTAACAAAGAAAAACGGATAAGCTTAAAGTTTAGTAAGCAAGCAGGGGCAAAATGATAATTGTACATCAAATCAGACATTTATGGCACGATTATATCAAAATAAAAGCAAAAATAACAAAACAATGCAGGGATACAGATTGGCTCCAAAGCCAGATCATCCACCATGCGTGATCACCTATCGACCCTCCATCGACCACAAGAAAAGGTCCGTAGAACTCCACTTTCTTCCTCCGACCACCTAACACCCACTCTGGCCAGCATCCACACACACACAAATGGCTCGAGCTTCGAATCATATTCGAATTGTATTCACGAAGTTGGTGATTTTAAGGATAGTTTGGACTAACTCCGACCAAGCGCTAACTGGCTCGAATAGTCCGTCTAGTCCTTTAGCATATAATTGGTCGCACTTATTAAACTTAGCATATAATTGGTGCTCTTTAAGAGTCTGTAGCACAAACCTCAAATGCCTTTCATGATCCTCACGAGTCTTCGAGTAGACCAAAATATCATCAATAAACTCCACAATAAATTGGTCTAGGTAAAGTTTGAAGACTCGGTGCATTAAGTCCATAAATGCAGCTGGAGCATTCGTCAATCCAAGGGCATGACTGCAACTTCAAAATGCCTGTACCGCGAATTAAACGCGGTCTTAGGGATATCCTCCTTCCGGATCCTTAATTGGTAATATCCCTGTCGAAGGTCCAGCTTAGAAAATACAACTACACCTTGCAGTTGGTCAAACAACTCATCAATCAGTGGCAGGGGATATTTGTTCTTAATTGTGAGATTATTTAGTCCTCGGTAATCGATGCACATCCGTAAACCTCCATCCTTTTTCTTTACAAATAGTACCGGGGCTCCCCAAGGAGATTCACCTTCCTGAATAAATTCTCGATCCAATAATTCCTGCAACTGTATTTTCAATTCCTTCAGTTCCGCAGGAGCCATGCGCGGTAAGGGGTTTTCGATATTGGTTCCGCCCCCGGGTGCAGATCAATCTTAAATTCGATTTCTCTTTCCGGCGGTAGTGAGTTCAACTCTTCGGGAAACATCTTAAGAAACTAACACACCACCGGCACATTTTCTACTTTTAATTGCTCTCCTGGGGTATTAATCAACATGGCCAAAAACCCTCAGGCACCCTTACTTAGCAATTTCCGGGTCTGAATCCCAGAAATAAGAGTGGTGGAGGCTAACTTTCCTCGTACATCTAATTGCAATGTAGGCTCACCCGGTATGTGAAAGTCAACCTTTTTCGTACTGCAGTCTAGGCGTACATGATACTTAGCTAGCCAATCCATACCTAATATAAGATCGTACCCCTTAAGAGCTAACTCTATTAAATCTACCGATAACTTTCGTTCCCCTATCCACACGTCACAGTCTTTGTACATCATATTGGCAAGGATGCTCTTATTGGTAATGTGAGTCTTTATTTCTAAATCATATGGCAGCTTTCCTGCTTTAATATCTATATGTTCCATAAATGCAGGACTCACAAAAGAATGGGTAGTACCACGATCTATTAACACTCTTGCGGTACGCCGAAATATAGAAAGCGTACCTTCGATGACTGCCGAATGGTCAGTCACCTCCTGATGGCCCAAAGCATAAACCCGCGCAGGCACTTTCGGTCGGTTCCCTGCTGCATTTGCTGGTTTTGGCGTAGTCCCTTCTGCCCGTGAAGTGCTTCCTTCAGTCCGCATTTTTGGGCATTGTGCAATCAGGTGCTCTGTACTACCACACTTAAAGCATTTCCTAACTGCACTATTTTTCCAGCAATTATCGGTGGTATGGTTGCCTCCAAAACCATAGGTCTGTCTCGTCCCTGTAGTCACCTCTCCTCTGTGGCCACCTCTTTGGAGCTCTCGCCCCGCTTGTCCCCTTCCGGCATTTCCCTAGTTTGAAGTCCCCGTCGGTCGTGGACCTCCTGCTCCCCTCCCCATTTTAGTGGGCAGCTCGTTCCTCGAGCTTTGTCCGACATTAAAGTTTTCGGTGCCCGACTGCCTTCTCTTTCTATCATGGAATGCCTTTACTTGACCCCGAGCTGTCTCAATCCTATGCGCTTTTTCTAATGCCTGACTAAAAGTATCCAACTGAGCGGCCACCAATCCTCTTGAATCTCCACGTTCAACCCCTGAACAAAGCGGCGGATCCGCTTTTGCTCCGTTAACACCAAATCTGGAGCAAAACGAGACAATTTAGTGAATTGGGTCTCGTATTCGGCAACACTTAGCGCCCCTTGGCACAGGCGAATGAAATCGTCCTCCCGTCTCTCCTGTACCATCGGTGCAAGGTATTTCTCATTAAATTCCCTGGTAAAGTTAATCCAGGTCCAGGGGGTCCGCTCTTGTTCCCATTTTGCTTTTACCACATTCCATCACGCCCGAGCTGGCCTTTCGAATTGAAAGGTAGCGAACGATACTTGCCGCTCCTCCGTATATCCCAAGGCGGCAAAAATATCCAGCATATGCTCCAGCCAGCCCTCCGCCACGTCAGGGCTGGGTCCTCCTATGAATTTAGGGGGTGCAAATTTTTGAAACATCTCTAAAGTGCGGTCCTCCCCCTCATGGTTCCCCCTACTACTCCCAGGGTTTCCGGCGTTATTTCCCTGACCCTGGCCCTGTTGGGCGACCAATTGCTCAAGTAAATCAGCCATTCGCTGGATGGCTGTAGTTACCTGGTTACTTTCAAGTTCATTTTATACCTTGAGGCCTCGACCTCGCCCCCTACCTAGACCTCGACCACCTGAGTCCATTTTTAAGTGCAAAAAGCTAAAAGAAGAATGGAAATGAATTACGCAAACATGAAACACAAAACATTTCGTAAAACATAAAGCAAACGCTTATATATACTAGCCAGAACAGTATGTACACACATATACCAATGCACGCCAAAACTATACAAATTACCCGACATCCGGTCGGGGCAAAACCCATCCTATACAAGAGCACCTCAGCTCCCAAAAACTAGCAGATCAAATTCGGATGCAAAAGATGGATAAGCAGAACAAGAGTCACATAGGCGGCGCTAAAGCGCCTCCCCCAGGGGCCCAGTCCCCAACCGAGCCCAAGGTATCAGCATCCTCCATCGGCTCCGGTCCGGTGGCCCTGGGTGGCGCCTCCGCGACCACATCTAACACAATCTCACAGTCAGCTATCACGCCCCGGACCCGCTCCCGTAGCTGTCTCTTCATAGCGAGGAGGTGCAGGTGCATGTCGTGTAACTGACGACGGAAGGAATCTGTCCTCTCCTCCTCATCTCTAAGGCTCCGCTCCATCTCCTTAAGGTGTATAGCCTGGCGGTGGGTCACTCCCCTAGCCTCCTCAAGCTGCCTGGTCAGGCGATTAACTGCCTTCCCCAGGCGGCGTCTCTCGTCGTCCACCGTCAGGAGGACCTCATCTGGGTAGCCATAGGTGAAACGACACTCACAAGGTCGGTGCGGCATTCTACCAATAGGTGAATATAGAGTGTAGGACTCTCTCGGCCTCCTCTAGTAACGGATCACCCGTCTACGAGTTACCCGGTTCACCGGGCCCCTCGCACTCGGAAGTCTCGACACCGGTCCTGATCCCACACCACTGGGTCCCGCACCACTTGAACTGCCTGGATCCATACCTACAAAACATTAATTCGTCAGTTTGCCAGCATTTCAGCTTAAAATCTAACATTCATCTTAACCGATCAAATTTGCCTAGTGCCCATCGTGTAGGTCCCGTTTACTCACGTCCTCTAAACTAGGCGCTCTGATACCACCTGTGACGACCCCATCGCACCCAGAGGCGTACCAAAGGGTTTGGCGGACCACCTATCTAGCTCGCGCCAGCACTCGAAAACGAAAAGCAAATAACAGAGATGATGTGAGATGGATCTAGACGAACACCAAGTTGGGATGATTGGCAGAACTTTGACCCTTCTAGAATCACAAGCCACGAACTAAGGAGATTCCTTAACCCAAGACTAGCAAATTTAGTGAACCAAAAGTATAGATAGAAGAACGCCACAATCAAGGAGACTACTTGATTGATAAGTTCGATGAACAACTTGAGATTAATTCTCAAGTATTCAAAGGAAATTCTCTTGAGGCAAGAGAGAGTGAATAAACTCACGAATATTTTATAAAAATCTGAATCCCCGTTTTAATGAATGAAAACCTAGGCTATATATAGCCTTACAAGACTCAAACCCTAGAATGTCCAATGGATGACCTTGCCCTTCATTAAGGGTGAAAATATCTAACAACTAATTGACTAAAATTAAGACTCTGAATTTGGCCAAAGTGAAGTGAAAATTGACCGAAATTATTAATGCTAACAAACAACTAATAATGGTAACTAAAACCCTAATTAGCAAGCTAGTGCTCCGTGAACTAGTCTTCACTTGGTTCTTCCATTTGAAGGAAAGTGTATAGAGTAGTTTCTCCATTATGTAATCCTTCAATGGTCCTCAAGTCATCACCAACTCGTTCTTGAATCGTGCAAACAAGAGCTTGAAGTGATTCTTGAATTCTCCTAGCACGCGCTCTTGTAATTGGACCACTAGGTATTTGCATGACCTGAGCACTAGAAGTTTGAGTAGCCTTGAGCCCCTCCTCATTAGTCCCCTCCTCTTGAAGGTGATTTGTCCTCAAATCAAACTCATCGTCTGCATGAAAAGGACTCAAGTCAGATACATTAAAAGTAGCATGTACCCCATACTCACCTGGAAGTTCAAGTTTGTAGGCATTGTCATTTATACGCTCCAGGACTTGGAATGGACCATCTCCCCGTGGAAGTAGCTTACTACGCCTTTTGACTGGGAACCTCTCTTTGCGCATGTGTATCCATACCCAATCGCCAGGCTCAAAGACCATCTTGTGGTGCCCCTTGTTGGCACTTTGGATGTATTGAAGTGTACGCTTCTCGATGTTGGCTCGCACCTTAGTGTGTAACTCACGTACATATGCAGCTTTGTTCTTACCATCCAAGTTAACTCTCTCATGAACAGGTAAAGGAGTTAAATCCAAAGGTGTGAGAGGGTTAAAACCATACACAATTTCAAACGGCGAATAATGTGTAGCAGAATGAACAGTGCGATTGTATGCAAATTCCACGTGTGGTAAGCAATCTTCCCAAGATTTAATGTTCTTTTTTATAATTGCGCGCAACAGGGTAGATAAAGTCCTATTAACCACTTCGGTTTGACCATCAGTTTGTGGGTGGCTAGAAGTAGAAAATAGCAATGTAGTACCTAGTTTACACCACAAAGTTTTCCAAAAATAGCTAAGGAATTTGGCATCCCTATCAGAAACAATAGTGCGTGGCATGCCATGTAATCTAACTATCTCACGAAAGAATAAATCTGCAACATGCTTAGCATCATCTGTTTTAAGACAAGGAATAAAATGAGCCATTTTGGAGAAGCGGTCAACTACCACATAGATTGAATCATGTCCTTTTCTAGTCCTAGGTAGTCCAAGCACAAAATCCATTGACAGATCAACCCATGGTTCATGTGGAATTGGCAAAGGTGTATAGAGACCATAAGGGTGTACTTTTGATTTGGCTTGGTGACAGGTCACACACCTTTCAATGTGCCGTTCTACGTCACTCCTCATGCGTGGCCAGAAGAAATGCTCTTGGAGAATCATTAAGGTCTTGGCAATGCCAAAGTGTCCCATTAGTCCTCCTCCATGAGCTTCTCTCACTAGGAGTGTGAGCATGGAGCTCTTGGGAATGTAAAGCTTGTCCTTGTAGTATAAGAACCCCTGAGAGATGAAATAGTGCTCACGAGAGTGTCGTGGCAAGGAGACAAAAATCTCACCAAAATCTGAGTCAGCTGCATAAAGATCTTTAAGGAATTCAAAACCAAGCAATTTAGCATCTAATGTAGTGATAAGTGCATACTTTCGTGAGAGTGCATCAGCCACTACATTCGTCTTACCTGTCTTGTATTTGATCACAAAGGTAAAACTGTCAATGAAGGTAATCCATCTTGCATGTCGCTTACTCAACTTGTCTTGGGACTTGATATGCTTGAGCGACTCCTGATCGGTGTGCAAGACAAACTCACGAGGGCGAAGGTAATGTTGCCATGTTTGTAGGGCTCGCACTAAGGCCATGAGTTCCTTATCATAGGTTGAGTAGTTTAGAGCAGCTCCATTTAACTTCTCACTAAAGTAGGCAACTGGGCGACCCCCTTGGAGTAAAACAGCTCCAATACCTATACCAGAAGCATCACACTCTACTTCAAAAGCTTTGTCAAAATTAGGTAAACTAAGAACAGGTGCATGTGTGAGCTTGTGTTTAAGTAATTGGAAAGACTTAGCTTGTTCCTCTCCCCAATGAAATTGCACATCTTTCTTGACAATTGACGTAAGTGGGACAGCAATTGTGCTAAAATCCTTGACAAAACGCCTATAGAAACTTGGCAAGCCATGGAAACTTCTCACCTCACTTACATTGGTAGGCGTTGGCCATTCACTAATAGCCTTCACCTTTTCTTGATCAACATGAATTCCCTGCTCACTAACAACATATCCTAGGAAAACCAATTGATTTGTGCAAAAGGTACACTTCTTAAGGTTAGCGTAGAGGCTTGCCTTGCGAAGTGCATCGAGGACCATTTGTAAATGCACAACATGCTCATCTAGAGTCTTACTATAGATCAAAATGTCATCAAAGTAAATGACCACAAATTTACCAATGAGAGAGCGTAAAACATGATT